GTTAACAATGGCTGGGCTTTTGGGACAGACCTTGTATATCCAAAAGAATTAAAAGCAACCTCTCAAATATAAATAAAGATATCTGTGTACTCATGTTTATAGCAGTATTATTCACAACTGCCCCAAAGTGAAGCAACCCAAGTGTCCGCTGATGGATGAAAAGATAAAATATGTTGTATATAGTCAATGGAATATTACTTAGCCTTAAAAAGGGTAGAAATTCTGACACATGCTACAAACATGGATGAAAATGGAAGACATTACACTGAATAAAATAAGCCAGTCTCACACGAAAACACACAACCACTGTATGAGTCCACTTATGTGAGGTACTTAGAGTAGTCACGCTTATAGAGACAGAAAGTAGAATAGTGGTTGATAAGGGCTGGGAAGAATTGTTTTTTTATTTTAAATATAGAGTCTCTCAGTTTTTCAAAATGAAAAGAGTCCTGAAGTTGGTTATACAAAGCAAATGTCCATGACAGAACTGAACTGTGTTCTGAATTATGTTATGTGCTTTTACCACAAGAAAACACTATTAACAAATCTATTCAAATAATAAATTTTCACAAGGTATTTACCCACTTTCAAATAGTTTAAATAAAAAGTACCAGTCTGGAGAAAACAATAACTTATTTTCCAATGCTCTATTCTCCTTTCTAAACCTCAATTTCTCCCAGGCACCAACTAGGTACATGCTAAAGAAAAGCCCTATGCAACCAGTGTGACTATTTAGTATGTGGCCGGGTGGAAGCCCATGAACTGGAAAAGGTGAGAAGTGGGCAGGAGGATTACATGTATCTAGAATTTGAAGCAAAGAGGATTTCTCAATCCCAGAAAGCACCAATGTGCTTGAGCTCAAGGTGACAATTTCAGAGCTCAGGTTTGAGCCTGACAGAACCAGCACTGTGCTGTGATCCATCTATTCAGGCCCCACACTGCCACCTTGCACTTGACTTACTACCAGTTCACACTCTTGTCACTGTCTTTAGAATGGACGTGTTGGGCTGGCAGATGGCAATTCGAGCACCACCAACACACAGTTGATAAAGAGGTTACTCGCTAGGAACCCATCAAGAAAAGTTTAAGAAAATATAGGAGGACTATCATAATCTGTTCCTCTCGAAGTGGTAACTCCAAGACCAGCAGATCCTACCTATCTCTTCTCTCTTGGGAGAAAATAGCATTCAATTCAATGTCTTTATCATGGCTTCATAGCTGAACACTAGAAGGCTGAAGCAAAACTCCAAACCATCTCTTCACATGCAGGGCTGCTACTGCAGGCCTGCATCCACATGCAGGGTGGATGCGTACACCCCAGTTCAACTTCTCCCACTGTTCCCTTCACGACAAATACGCAATTCTTTTGCTAACAAACAGCCATGGGAAGGTCTAGCTGGATTATTTATAGCTTGAATGACTTGGACAAGTTGCTTGTCAGTCTTAGTGTCCTCATTTATCCAATGATGACAATAATTTATATCTGACAGTGTTATTGTGATGAGTACATGAGAAAGTTGATGAAAATATTCCTGGAAATGGGCCTGTGGACACCATACAGCTGGGACATGCTTTTCTTTCACGCCTTCTTCCCTCTCCACATCTTGTCATCTCCTCCCCACTCAAAGGCAAATACAGAGAGGAAAGCACACTCAGACGGACTCAGAGACCTGGAGGGCACTTAAATGTAATTGTGAACGTGTACTTTCCTGCCAATAAAGAGACAAGGCTGGGAAGTGGAGGCTGGGGAGAGAAGGCAGAGTCCCTGGTTACCAGAAGGGCCAGTGGGGTTGGAAGGGATGAGGTCTGGGGCGCGTGGGAGGAGGACCGGGGCACGTGCAACTTTTTAGAGAAGTCACAGCTTCCCAGAGGGAAGAGAATTCAAAATGAGAAGATAATGCTGAAACTATTTCGGGGAAGTTGTTTTGGAGTACAGAATATTTACATAAGCTTAATTTCCCCACAGCCTTGTTAATTAATTACAAGAGGAAATGAGAAAGTAACATTTACAATGCAGAAATCTGGTGGACATCTTTCAAATTAAAGGGGTGAAGGGATTAACCAAAAAGAGAGAGAAAACTCATAGACACAGATAGCAATATGGTGATTGCCAGAGGGAAAGACGGGGGAGGGGAGGTAGAGGAGGGTGTTGGGGGGATAACTTGGTGATGTACACCTGAGACCCACATAATTTTATTAACCAATGTCACCCCAATAAATTCAATAAAAGAAGAAAAACAATGCCCCTCAAAGTCAGCCATAGTGGAACCAACTAATATGCCAGATGCACCCAGGACACAGCATCACTTAGAACTATTCATGCAAAGGTACAACCTGAGCTAAGTCACAGGCAACATCAGGAAAAATCCAAATAAGGGACATTCCACAAAACGAGTGACCTATGTTCTACAAAATGTCGGTGTCATGAAATACAAAAATGAGCTAAGGGACCGGATGTTCCATATTAAAGGAGACTACAGACATGTCAAGTAAATGCAAACACATGATCTTAGCTACAAGGACATTATTGGAACAATTAGGGAAATTCAAATACAGAGTCTGTATTAGACAATGGGATGATTCAATGTTGAATTCCCTGAGTGTGATCACTGTATGGTATAATGTAATGGCCCTGCTCTTTCTTAGGAGACACATGCTTAAGTATTTAGGGGACAAGCGTCAACACGTCTGCAGCTTACTCTGAAGTGACTCAACAACAATAAAATATGTATGTGTATGTATGTGTATATGTATAAAAAGATCAAGCAAATGTATCAAAATATTAACCAGTGAATCTAGGTGAAGGGCATACAATATTTATTATACTATTCCTGACCTTATGCTGTGAACTTGAAAAAAATTATTAAGAAATAAACACAAATACCTAGGGAAAAAAAGAGAAGGTAGCATTTAAAAAATATGAGTAGATAACAGCTTGATGATTCCTCAAAAAGTTAAATGTAGAATTTCCATTTAACGATTTCCATTTCCATATACATTCCTAGAGAATGTGTACACCCAGGAGAAATGAAAGCATTTGTGGACACAACAACATGTGCATGAACATTCACAGCAGCATTTTTCATAACAGCCAAAAGGTGGGAACATCCCAAATACCCACCAACAGATAAATAAACCGTGATATATCCATACAATGGAATATTATTCAGCCTTACATCAGAATGAAACTCTGAGCCACGGTACAACATGGATGAACCTTGAGCACATAATACTAAGTGAAATAAACCAGTCACAAAAGGGTAAATACTATATGATTCTACCTGTGTGAGCGGCTCAGAGTAGTCAAATTCATAGAGACAGAAAGTAAAGTGGCGGATGCGGGAGCTGGTGGGAGAGAGAAATGGGGAATGACTGCTCAGTGGCCTCCGTGTTTCCTTTGGGAGTGATGAAAATACTTTGGAGCTTGATGGAGGTGATGGGTGCACAGTGATGCGAATGTAGAAAATGTCTCTGAATTGTTCACTTTAACATGATTGATTTTATGTTACATGAATTTTACCTCAATGAAAAAGAACAGAGCAGATGGAGGAAGGAAGAGGATAATATTATGACTTCAGCCACAGAGTGTGACTGGGAAGAGAGCACCCCTGGAGCGAGCACTTGCGCCCACGAAATCTGCTGATTGGAATGGAAAAAGGGCACCGCTGGTTCTGAAACGTGCCGACCAAATGAATGTGAGGTGCATGATTCTTATGTACCTGAATTCTCTAAACACCTTCACAGACACTTACAGTGCAGTAAGGATGAACTATATATGCTGGGTCATTAAATGTTATATTGGAAAGCACCTTGACTAAAGTAGCACCAATAGGAGAAAGTGGGCAAAGCTGGGATCCCACGAGCCAAGACTTTAGAGGAAAAACCTCTTCCTCATAGACCCCAGGATGGGGAAGTGAAATGCCATGTGGCTGCAGCAGACGGGATGAGTCTAGTTTTGGCTCATTTGGGGCTAGACAGTTTTTTGTTTTTTTAATTTATTTATTTATTTTTAGAGAGGGGAAGAGAAAGAGAAAGAGAGGGAGAGAAATACTGATGCTCAAGAGAAACACCGATCAACCGCCTCTTGCACGTGTCCCACCGGAGACCTGGCCCGCAACCCAGACCTGTGCCCTGACCCGGAACTGAACCAGCAATACTCTGCCTTGCGGACGATGCCCAACCAACTAAGCCACACCAGTAAGGGTGGGGCTGGGCAGTTTTTAAAAGTTGTCCACTCCTTCTCTTTAGAAATCATGTTTGCTGTCACATACATGGAGCTGGGACAGAAAGAGTGATGTTGTAAGACTTGTAGGACCTCACACGTTATCTTTTCCAGAAATAATCGCATTTTCAATTGGAACCATGAAGAAAACATGATGCTTTAAAAAGAGGGGGGAAGGGGGATATTTTTATCACAAAAGAAATTCACACACACTGTAAAAACTTTAGAAAAGGCAGATGGGCCAAAACAAAAAATCCCTATTAAAAAGCCACTACCATGATTTTGCCAGCCTGAGAAGGCTATACTTACCTGTAAGGAATGACTCATAACAATGGCGCTTTGACCATCTTTAAAAACTTTCTTGGTGAGAAATTGCAATAAATGTGAGGCTTCCTTAAGCCCACTAGCAAAGGTGGTCCTAAACCAAGTATACCTTCCCCTGAGATAGAAGCAAATTTTCAGTAGTTAAAATGTGTGTGTCCAGAGACTCTGGTGATGACCATGAAGCAGTAGACAGAAAAATCAGAATAAATACCCACCGCTCTCTTCCTTATAAATGTTCATCTGAAAGAGAATTACTAAGTCATAAGGAAGAGAAAGAGTCCGATCAAATATTGCTGCAGGCCAGTTTGGGGGGCCAGGTGAACAAAGAAAAACAAATGAAGTGATGCTTCTGACACAGTTTAGTGATTGGCTGAGCAAAATGACAGCAATTGGCTCGAGTCCTTATTTTTTTCTACCTCCAAAGTGATCTCTGGCCCCAGGACCACACACTCACCCATCCAGACTTCCCCGAACTGCCCAGCACCGAGCCTCTTCACCAACTTAATGGACTCCCGTGGGATTTCCCAGGCATCTTTATCCCACGGCTTTTGTGGTTTGGGACTAATACAAGCCTTCTCCAATCTTCTGCACAAGCCATCTGACTGCTCTAATTTAAAAGAGAAAATAAATGTTAAAAAACAACCATACTTTGTATTTTACCAGTATCTAGGGGGAAACTGACTATTGGTCTTACAGTTTCCAGCTTGCCATAGTTATGGACCTAAAATGCCTATAGGGGTATCTTTTTTATAATCATGAGTTTTGGAATTCTTAAATGAAAGACAGTTTAAAACATCCTTAATTTTATTTGTGAGTACTGTTAATGTATTAAAACAATAAAAACATAACAGATAAACAAAGGCTGACATTGCCACATTTAATAAAATGCAATCTCAAATTGCATCAGGTAGTGCATCATGGTCAAATGGCAGGGGCACTCACCACACAGACCAGAGGAGCAGGCAGGTAATGGGATAACAGAGAGGGAGGCCGGATTCCACAAAAGTATGGGTACCTCACACTCTCCATCTTTTGGGACCTAAGCAAGGCTATGATGTGTGTTCCCCTCGAGCAGGTTGTAGAAATAAGCTGTAACAACAGCTGCCCGCTACACCAGCTTCCATTACACAGAGAATGAACCTAAAGGTTGGCCATGGGTTCAGCTTAACAGGGCTGGAGAGTGGCATTGGTGACAGAGGACCAAGAACCTGCCGCTGCTCAGAATTTTGGTGTTGCTGTTATTTGGGTTCTTTTACCAAGAGTATGTATTACTGTTATGCATGCATACATCTGCCAAGTCTGAATTCTTCTTCCACATAGTTAAAGATGTGTTGTAAAAATACATATTATATAAAATAGTATTCATTTTTCTCTTCATAATCCTGAAATATCTATTATTAAACATCAGGGATTAGAAGAGAAGGACTGGAATGATTATTCACAAGGATCAAATCTAACTTTGAATGTTTATTTAATTATAGATGAATTTATAATCAATTATAGAACATGGCCCTCCAACTTTAGCCAAAAGAAATATAATGCATAAAAAAATTTCAATACAAAAAAGTGTTTGATACCATATATTTACCATAACAAACTTATCTGCCTCGTCTGACCCTCGGTCTTTACTTACTTTGGTAATGCTTAATCATGTCACTGATACAAGGAAACGTGATTCTGGGAGAGATGTAATAACCCCCATTGTCCAGACTTCTAATTTTGTAGTGCTTAATAATATCGCCGTGCACAGGGTCATAGTCTCTGACAGAAAGAGAGTAGCTTCCTGCAAGGGAAAAAGTGCAAGTCAAGATTATACCCATATTTTATAAATAAGATCTGCATTTTACAATACTGTAAATCCCCTTTGCCATAAAATATGCAAAATAAGTACATAATTTGAAAAGCCCTATAAAAAGTCTATGCAATAAACAAAGATAGGATTTTGTTGGCTTTGAAGTTTATCAACATGCCATTATCCTTCTTCATGATAGTTTTTGAAATTATTTCACTGAATCGAAAGTTGCTTTCATGTACTTTCTCTTAAAATTTCAATATTTACTCTGAACAATAATTTAAAAGACTCAACAAACAAGGTACGGTGAGAAATGGTCATAATTATGCCTGTTTCCTATTACTTTGAGTAGCAAAACTAATCATTTGAGTTTGTTATTTGTTAGCAAACCATAAAATTACACTACCAGAACATAATGCATTCTTTTTTTAAAAGAATTCTAGAATAGTTTCTAACAATAATTTTCTAAATAGTGTTTTATAAGAAGCCTAATGCCACCCCTTACCTTTCAATGTTTCACTCTCTCTGATAAGGAAAGCTCCAGGGCCATTCCCTGGCGCCAGAAGCTGCCTTTCGGCATCTTTCCTGGTTATATCCTTGAAAAACCACCTAAGAAGACATTTTAACAGTTCATGGGTGTTGTGCTCCACGGAAATAAAAAGATAAAGAATAAACAAGAAACCCAATATAGCGAACAAAACCACCAAAGATGACAACATGGAAAGACTCACTCTTCTGTTTCCAAGGTGTTGACTTTGGCTACGTAGTTGCTGGGGATGAAGCCTTCTCTCTTTGTGGAAAGGGATTTGGCTTTCCACCATTCTCCGTGCCTGGAATAGAAAACACACACCAAAAATGTGTCCAACGACTCGGGAACCACAACAGCAAATGTCTCCTCGTGTTTGTTTTGGGCATGAGGGTGGGTGAGGAAGGTTCCTGGAACCTCAAAATCCAGTGAGAATATTCATTCCTCTGGCTGAAATAAAACTATGTTTAGAGACTGAAGCAAAGAAAAACAGCCCCCCCCGGACTCGAGTGTGGGTCACTGTGCTCAGTGCTGGACAAACTAGAGCTGGTGAAAGTGGTTCCCATCCTGCAGAAGGAAAATGCTCGTAATTTCACTCAGGACACCCAAGAAACACTGTAGGGTCCTTAGAGCAATAGGAGTCAAGGGAACAGCGAACCATAGCTCCTGCATCATAAACCCCTTTGTCCAAACATCTAGTTTCCAAAGATGGACATCACAGAAAAGAGGAATAGAAAAGCATACAAAAATTTCGAGCAGGCAGGCCTCATCACCCACTCTTGCCCTCAGCATGGAGCCAGGGAAGAGGATGGGGCAGAAAGGATGGGTCCCTGTGAGCCTCAATGATGTTTCCTTCAAATTCCCACATGCAGACAGATCCCTGTCAGCAAGCAAGACATGGCGGACTACCACCAATCCTAACCTGTACCTGCTACATGCCTATACTATGCTTATCCATATGAACCACACACATAATCCTCCCATCAACCCATGACAGATGCAGTGCTGTTCCCATTTTATAAGGGAAGAAACTAATGTATAGAGCCGAAGTGACTTGTGAAGGTCACACAGCAGTAAATGGCAGGGCCGGGATTAGGCCCAAGTTCATGCTTAACCAGTAAGCAATAATAGTCTGTAACCACTTAATACCTTGTAGGTCTCTCTCCTCTAACCCTGGTTGGCAGACCAGGGGGGCAATGTGTGCAGATGAGAAGAAAAAGCAGCTAGAATTAAGACACTTGGAGTTCCTTATTCTCAGTATTGTTCTGAAGCCTAGACAGTTACGGTCTGACTAGGGTCACAGGCCTGTGAGTCAGCACAGATGGGATTAAGCAAATGATGGTGTCCAAGTGTCTTCATAGAGTGCCATCTGCTGAGTAGAGCTTTTTCAAGATGACTGCTGCTTCAGCACAGTGCCCTTACAAATCAAACCAAGTTGGACCCATAAATCCAGTCTGAATTGGAGTGCATAACTAAATGAAAATGGCATTACAGTAACATGCACATTCCACAGACATCCCAACTTCTTAAGATAGCGCAGATGGATAAGAAAGAGACCAGTCTCTGTCTTCAAAGGGAAACCTCTGGAGAGTGCTCACAGGCAAACTTTGGAGGAAAATTCCTCCTGCCCTGCTCTTCCACTCCCAGCCTGACTGCAGCCAGAACCTGAGAGGCCTGGTGCCCAAAGAGGAGGTCTGGCTCTTGCTGTGCTCCTGGAAGCAAAACAAGGAGACGATGTGTAGGATTCGGTGGCCTGGGCACAGGGGCAGCAGACGCAGTGTGCCTGAGTACACTTACTCCTCTAAGACTTTCATCTTCTCTCCTTTCCTAAAGGACAAGTCGTCTTGGTGGATGCCATCATAGGGGTACAAGGCTACCACAATGTCTCCTTGTTCCTCTGGATCTAAAAAGAACACAAATGAAGACCTTTAAAAACCTACCGGCAGAAACGTTTTGACAAATCCTCATTGGGCTGCTGGGGAAATGATACGTGTTTCCTTCCTAGTGGGCCTCAGGGTCTACATGGTCTACACTGACTAACATGCTGTACACACTGTACGCAGTGTTTTTTGTCTCAAATTACAACTGTAATTCATTACAACTCTGTATTTAAGAAATGATACAGCCATGTTCCTTGCAGCATTATCGTAATAGCTAAAAGGAGGAAACAAACAATTAAGTGTCTGGGGACAGAAAAATGGATTAAAAAAACACAACAACTGTGATCTCTACGTACAACAGGGATCTCTACATACTCAGCCTTGTAAAAGGAAATCCTGACACCAGCTCCAGTAAAAATGAGCCTTGAGGACATCATGCTAAGTGAAACAAGCCAGTCTCAAAAGGACAAATACTCTATGATCCACTTGTATGAGATTCCTAGAGTATCAAACACTCAGGGACAGAAAAGAGAATGGTGTGTGCCAGGGGCCGGGAGGCAGAGGGGTGGCGTCAGTGTTTCCTGGACACGGTTTCAGCATGGGAAGATGAAGACACTCTGGAGATGGAGGGTGGAGATGGTTGTGCAAACTGTGAGTGCACTCCATGCCACTGTCTCTTACACTTAAAAAAAGTTAAAATGACCAATTTTGTGGTATGTGTATTTTTCCACAATAAAAAAAAGCTACCCAGGAAAACGACTTTAAAGAGTCTCTAACAGTAAAGAAAAAAGAAACCAACACATTGCTAGGAAAACGTACCTTTAGTTTGAAACCTCTGTCCTGGTAAAAGCTCAGATTCTGTAACCTAGGAGAGAATATTGGTTAGAAAATTTTTAATGCTTGGCTTTTCTTAGTCACATTCATATTGTATATTATATTGTTTTTGTAACAATAGCAAATGAGGTTTAGATTTGCTAACTTATTAAGCCGGAAAGAAGAGAAATACAGAGAAAGAATTCTGCAGAGATCTGTCCCAATCTACACAGCTCTTCCTTCTGAAAACAGTCATTTGCCTGTGGTGGCACGAAAGGAACAGGGCTCTGGGCAGGGCCGCTAGATGCTCACCCAATCACCACTCTCCCTCTTGTTCGGTGACAGAACCCGAATATTATCTGGGAGGCAATTTGCCAAGCTCAATGACTGCACTTCCAAATTCTCTAGCCTTCCACGCAGATGGAGGGAGGCAGTGTATCTATAAACAAGATGGTCGTGTGGTGCCTCGCTGGAGTCTCAGCAGCCAGGGAAACTGGCACCAGTGATGGCAGAGCAAAGACGGGAGCGGCCTGGGGCCCTGGTGGAAGAGCCACCCAAGCCCTGGGAACTGTGATCTCCATGTTCCCCAGACTTGTAGACAGGGCTCAGCCAAGTCCCGAGAATAAGTCCTAACCAATCCAGGCTGCCTGTGGCTGCCCCTGATGCCATCATGGGGACAGACAGCATCCCTGTCATTTTAGTTGGAGGTGAATTATCAGGGAAAGTCTGGTGACACTAAAAGCCACTTCAATGACCTTTTAAATAGAATTCTTCTTTCTCTCAGAGGCCAAGAGGAGGATGTTTAAGGCCCCTTAGACCCTTTTAAGGAAGCTACTGTCAGAGACCTACACCGATCATGTCCCTTTTCTCTCTGATTCAATGAAATGGGACCCAAACAGTTTGTACTGAAATTTAAATTTCTGATGAAAGTTAGTCCATAAAAATCTCCAATTATGGTGGGGAAATTTTGTTATTAGAAAATCATGGGTCCATATTATCATACAATACTTATTTCAATAATTTTTATACTGATTTTTTAATCATTTAAATTTGCATGTATGATCATAAATTAGTATGTATGGTCAATTTTAAATATCTTAGAGGAAATTATTAGAAGATGACAGTAAATTAAATAATTTTGAAAGCAGCAGGCTGATTTTCAAATATCAGAGTCCTTAATGTACAAATGCTTTAATACGCTTTTTTTCCCTAAGACCAAAACACATGTATGCAACCCATCGACCCCCTTCTCTTTCTTTAAAGTCTTCTCCTTAGAGTGCTGTTGGATCGCCTCATCCAGTCATCAGCGCTGCGGTGCGATCAGCCCGGGGCACACACCCTGGCCACCTCGGGCCGAGCTGAAAGTGTCATCCGTGGCCACAGATTGGGGCCCAGCTAACCTGTGCATGAAGCAAGGGTGTCTGTGACCACTCGGGCACAGGCAAAAGTACGGGAACTGATAGATGTCTATGTGTTTACTATGTCTGCTTCTAACCTAATTTTAACCTCCTTTACTTTTAATAAGGGGAAAATGGTATACAAGAAAAACAGTGCAAACTTATACACAGTTTTTTCTTGCTGTTCTGAAAATATCTTCAGTTATCATTAAAGAAAACAAGACTGCTTGGGTTTTATAGCATATAAAGTCTGGTATATGTGAGACCAGAAAATGACAGATCCTTTTTATGAGAACTTGGAAGTCTATAATAAAAAATACATTTGTGACTCTAATTCTTTATATCATTTCATTTTCTAGTAATCATAGTTATAGATTCTACATCTATACTTATTGATGAAATGGTTTTAAACTTGGGGGTGGGCAAAAGTAGGTTTACAGTTGTTCACATGGAAAAATATCTAATACAAGAATAAATAATAACACAAGAATAAACTTTTCACATAGTGACAACCATAAACCTATTTTTAGCCACCCCTCTATATTATATCACTGAATTATTAAAGGTGTTAATAATCTTATACATTTTGAGTTTCTATAGAAAATTACAGTGTTAGTATATTTCTCCAGAAACATTATGTACAATTTATTCGCTCTTCCTCTCCACTTCTTGTGTTTATTGTTGACACCGTTACAGATGTCCCCCCTGTCCCCCGTGCCACCTCAACCGGCCCTGTGCCCTCCCTCTGGCTGTCACCACACTACCGTCTGCATTCACGGGCCCTGCATTCATGTACTTTGGCTGATCTCCTCAACTTCTTTTATCCAGTCCCCCCCACCAGCCTCCCCTCTGAGGTCGATCAATGTTTCAGGTATCCACGCCTCTGGCTCTATTTTGTTCGTCTGTTTATTTTTTTAAGAAGGTCAACAGTGACTCAGCAATGTCAACCATGACATGTGACTTTGACATACATTGTCCCTGCAGGACAATGGGGAACAGAGGGGGAGGGGCTGGCTGAGAGACTTGATTAAAAAGAATGCACCTTTAGAATGTGAAGGTATTTAAAAACATGTCAAATAAGAGAAACTATAAAAACACCTAATAAAGGCATTTGGGCTAACTTGGAATAAGCTGCTTTCGGCTTAAATGCTGAGGAATTCCATCCCATAAACACCAGACTATGGGATGTTATACATGTGTTATGTATATTGTCATACATAAGGAGAATCAATGGAAAGGATATAAAATCTGAGATAAAGTGCATTTAAGGTTGCAATTATCCAAAGCTTTGTTCTTCTTTTCCATAAAATGTGATGTTGGATCTTCCTTTGCCTAGCATTCCAAATTCATCAAATAGCACATCACTCACACAATATTGCTGGTACGGATATTTGTGAAAGGTTAATGGGCAGAATTAGCTTTGTTTTTTTTTTGGGAAATCTTCCAATTATAGTCAGACATGACAACTTTGGGGTCTGTGTTCTTATCAGTTAACTGAGGAATTATAGGATGGGATAGAAAACATAGTAGCACCTATTTTAGCTTCTGAGTTGAATGCAGCATTTCCAGGCCATGGCACTAATCTGGCAACTATCCTAAGTCACACAAGTTCAGGTAGAAATGTGTATCTTTACGTATAAAAAGTAGGTGTTCGCACCAGTGATATGAAAGATGATTCTCTCTACCCATAGGGTGACCGAAGGCTGCTGTGTTGTACAATAGATGACCTGGTCATGTCTCCAATGTTTACAGGTTCTTTAAAGGATTAAGCTACAAAGCATATCAAAAATCGAGGCCCAAGTTTTTGATGTGATTTTTTTCATGCACATGTTACAGATTTGGTGTTTAAATTGTGCAGCTATGCTTTCATCCTGCTGTGGGAATTCTCCCTGAGACTATCTACTTACTGGCCTTGGCTGTTTATTGGACGTTGGATCTCTCACATAAATAGTTCGGTCAGTATTACGTACTGGTTGAGTCTTCAAATCTATTCCATCGTCATTCAGATTCTCTTTCCTTTTTGATTTTATACATCCCATATTTCCTGTTGGAATACAAAGCAATGACATTGTTTTACCATTCTAGAACTGGCTTCAAGCCACCCAAAACCCTTCTTGATGAACAATATAAAGAATATGCTTTTATTCTTTACCATAGACAGTTTAACAAACTCAGGTGTGGGTATTGTTCACAAACCAGTTTGTTTGTTCATTTTTTCATTCATTTATTCGACAAGTTTCATTGTGCATCCATTTCTCATCAGTAAGACATAATCCCTGCTCCGAAGATGCTCATATTCTGTGGCAAACGTGTCTATTAAATTTACAGTACAGCAGTGAGTCAATGACAGAGGATGCATCAGACCTAGGAAAGGACACGTAACTTGCGAAAGAGGAAAAGGTGGTGGTCAGGGGAAGCATCCTGAAGGAAATGCTCTGTGAGTCACAACGGCAGTGATGTCAGCCAGGTGGCAAAGTCAGTTGAAGGGACTCTAGCAAGAAGGAACTTTCACACGCAAAGTGTTGACCCTGAGCTAACATGGCCCCTTCACAGGGAACTGGTTCAATCTCATGCTTCGCCTTCATGGCAATAGTTCTATAATGTGAACCTCCTCGCCAAGGGGCAGGTAGGGAAGGCCAGGAGCTGGGCTGGAGAGGAGAGGGAGGCCCATGTTGAGTGCAAAGCTGAGGAGTTTGTTTGTTTTCCTCCCACCTCCCGAGATGAGTGACACAGTGTGCAAGGTGAAGTGAGGGGGTTCAGGGCTTCAAAGGCAAGCATGAGTAGGAGCTAGAATGCACTGACCCCAGCTCCAATGTGGGTGGGAAAATGGTGGGGGCCTTCACCTAGACTGGAAATAAAAGAGGAGACATGGGTATGGGGGAAAAGATGTCTATAGAAACATCCAAACGATCAGTGGGCTTCCCAGTAAAATGTGTGAGTGTGGAAATCAGGAGAGATGGCAGAGCTCCAGGCAGAAATGAGGGCATCAGTGAGCCACGACTGCACATAAGACTCCGGAGGAAAAACCGTGGCTGGAAGGGACTTGAGCTTGAACGGTGCACAGGGGCATAACCATGCTTCTAAATGCTCAAGTCTTTCATTTGTTTATTCAGTTGCTGCTGGGAGTGTAGAGCACCACACAAAGCACTCTGGGGACCAAAAAGGATGATTTTTAAAACTGAAATCAGACATGAATCTCCTCCTACAGTATAGCCTCATCGTCAAATCTATAAGTTGAAAATAAAACAAAATTTATTATGAGCTTCATTTGAATGCCCTATATAGGGCAGCGGTGTCCAAAGCCAAAGGAACACTAGCATCACCTAGATCCCACAGACCAGACTCCCTGGACACGTGCCAGGGTATCCTCTGGGGGCCTGGGTAATTCTGCTGGGGATCGTGCCAAGAGAAGGGAGAGGTGAATTAGAGTTTGGGGAATGAGGAGAGGTGTGAGTTAGGAAATATCTCCTGGGGAAGGAGCTCTTCTAAAGAAATCTCGAGAGCAGGCTCTAAACTGTCGCCCCCTGGCACTACCGCTCCTCGCTCCTCTGTGCGTTTGGTCTGTGGGCTTCCACTGGGACCTTCACCTTGTTTATCACTTCATCAGGGCGGTGGAAGCCTCTGGAGGCCACGCCTCTTTCCGAAACTAGTGAGCTGTGGTTCCCAAAATAAAGGGGAAGCAAGTACTCCTTTGATTGAAAACAGCACATGTTTTTCATACGTGAAAGTTTTTGAGACAAAGATGAGTTTTAAAGTTGATTTAGAAATAAGCCAGATGGGTTTTAGAGTTGATCTGTAAATACTCAGGTGAGTTCTTTTTTCACCAATCCTATCTCCCTTCCCCCACCCAAATAAAAGCAGCGTGTAAGTCATCAGCCATGAAAAGGGTGGGGTGTAAATAAGGGACTATGGTGCTTAACGAGAAAGGCTGCCCAGTGTGGATGCTTAGGCACACAGTGAGCTGCAGTGGGAGGGGCCCCGGCAGACAGGCTGGGCGACGGGGTTGCAGGAGCCCCACCAAGACGGGCTGCCCCAGGCTTCCCCCAGAGGCCCCACCTCCCTTGCCCTTTCCCTCTCTAGTTCTCTTTTTCCCCCCAGATCTCTACACAAATGTTACCCCTACCCCGCAGACAGATCCTCACTAACTGCCTGATTGAAAATATTACTGCCCCACTCACACCTCGTGATTTACCCTCTTATCTTTCTTACTACGACCTATATCCCTTTACCTATTGGTTTATTTCCAGTTAGCCCCCCAGAGGAATGGAAGTTGATGGGCCAGGCCCTGCTGGTTTCTTCACTGCAGGACTCCCAGCACCCAGCACAGGGCTGGGCAGAGCAGGTGCTCAGGGAACAGTTATTCAAAGAGTGGAGCCGGCCGCTCTGGGTCCTGCACTTGGGGCTTCCTCCTAAGTACCCATCTGAACCTCTCTTGCTAAAGCAGGTCAATGGAAAGGAAAGGAGGTGAGTCCCAGCCCCATGCCAGTTGTGTTGGAAGAGACAGAGAGATAGAAACCTCTAGAACTAACTTCCAGTTTATAGGAGACATAGGTTAGAGGAAGAAAATGAAAAATCCTTAATGTGTGCTAAAGGCAACTAGCCTGGGTTCTTCAAAACATCCAGGGGGAGGGGGGAACATTCAACATTATGAGAGACTAAAAAGACAACATGTGAACCTTGACTAAATCCTGGATGGGGAGGGGCAGAGGGGATGACGCACGCTGGCACAATTGGGGACATCTGAGGAGGTTTTAACTCGACATGAGAGATTTGCGTGTTTCCGCGTGTGACAGTAGCATTGTGGTTACACTGAGACTGTCCATCCCTCAGGAGACGCAGGCCAGGTGTGTGCGTGCGCAGGCCCAGGGTGTCTGCAGCCACCAGCACATGGGCCACTCTGAGGGAAGGCGGGGAGGAAGAGGAGGGGTCGGATGTGGCAAAAACAATGAAGAATTAGTGAATGTAAATGAGGATATTCTTTCATTTTTGTCTGAGATTTCAAATTTTCAAAATAAAAAGTTGGAGGGGGATATTATTAACAACTTTATGCAGAAAACTTTTTCAAAATGTTAGACACCCTGGTAGCGGGGGGGGGGTGTGCATGTGAGCGCAGAAGAGGACACTGGAAAAGCACCTTGCGGGGTGTTACTGATATGTCATGCCAAGCTGCAGGGACTTCATTTACAGCCGTAGAAAGGTCTTTAACTGCGGAAAGGACATGAGGAGGCCTCTACTACAGACAGCAAACTACGTAGGCAGAAAGAGGTGGAAGACCTGGAGTGGGGACCTCCATGACAAAGGCCTCTGGGTGGGCTTTGTTCGAAGTGGTTCGAGCGGCGAGACGATGGGATTCCCAGTGGCCCCGGAAAGGAAGACGAAGAACAAACGTAAAAAGCAGTGGACAGGAGACGGGTGGTGATAGTCCACAGATTACCATTTACTGATGCCTAGTTCCCATTTTCTCCTCCCCCATCACGACGAATAACTGAGAACCAAAAGTACGTTTTGTAGATTAAAACAATAACGATTCTACTCCACAGGGAGCACTGCAGTTGTTCTGGCTTGGGGGTCCCCTGGGGACCGCCCACCAGGTCTTGCAATTCCTTATGCTGTGGCAGGTAACAGAAAAGTACAAAATACAATGTAGCCCCAACAGATACAGAGGCAGTGATTACTTGTTTGCAAGTGATATGAGCTACACCTTAGTGTTTTTTAATTAAGCATTCATAAGTTTTTGAGAGTGTCATTTAATCCTCAAAGAAACCATATCAGCCAGGTATTATTAACTCCACTTTACAGAGAAGTAAACTGAGTTTTAAAGAGACTGAAAGACTGGCCCAAAGTCACAGTGCTACTGAAGGGTGGCCCTGGGACTCACCCATAACTTCAGCCAAAAGTCTGTTCTCTACTTTTTTCCCTCGTATGATGGCTCGTTTGAAACTGTTATTTTATCTACTTATTAATGAAGCTAAATGGAGATAGTATAGCCTCTTCTTTCTCTAAATGAACTGAAATGCTTCTGCAAAAAAGACAATGATGAATTTAATCAAGTGAAAACAGAACACCCAACCAAGGCAGAGAGGAGAATGCAACTATGGTAGTAGCACGGTGGGTACCAGGTCGGCCGGGGCTAGTTTCCTGGCAGGAAGGGCCAGAGGGCAGCATGAGTCCGCCGGCTTCCACACGCTTCGTGAGCGGAGAGGAAGCAGATGGGAAAGTGAGGGGCTGCAGAAGAATTCTAAGGTTTCTTACGAAGGACTTCCCATAAAGTGCTGTGGACGATGAAGTTGCCGATGCCTTCATTTTTTTTTAAACAGTGTTAAACAAAGGCACGTTTTATACTTGGAAAATTTGGTATAATAATAATAAAAGCTGAAGGTCTGGCATGCGAATATGACCCTGGGGCATTCATCACACAAGCTCGACTAGATCCATGGTCTGAAGAGACACAGACCGCTGGGCAACCTTGGCTCACAGAGGGACATCCACAGTCACATCCGGAAGCTGGGAGGCAGGCGACTTTTTCCAAAAATTTCTTTAACTGGAGCAAATATCCATTAGGGTTGGCTCAGCCTCATTTAAAGGCCTTAGAATATAAAAATCTTAAAAAAGAAAACCACAGCCCCCAAACAGACTCTGGGGTAAAAGACTAACTATGATTCCTTGCTTGTCGTCCCACCGTCTCTGGTAAGATCTAATCATGTGATGCCTCACCAACCTGCCAGCGAAGAAAGAACTTGTCTACCTAGAATTCCACCTCTGGGGACTTTTTCTCTCCAGCTTTATTAAGATATAATTGACACATAACATTAAGTAAGGTTAGGGGATAGAATGTGATGACTCAGTATCATATAGATTGTGAACTGCAGGGGTTCAGAACGAGTCACCCCAAGACGTGCCTCTGTGGCACATGCATTGTTTTAGCTAAAGCCGACTGAGGTACTGCATGCTTCAGAGACACTTCTGTCCTCCATTAACTACGCAGAAGACTTTAGATAAGGGGTGGTCCTGCCCATAATAAGAGATTATCAGAGGTAACATTTT